CCCCCCCCCGCGGCCCTTGGCAGGTTTGTGATCAGTTCTGAGCAAAAGCTGTTTCCTTACAGCAGTGAAGAGGGACAGATCCAGAGAAGAACTTGCTGGAGAAGTGGCCAAAGTGAAGACCCCTGGGGTCCATGAGGGCCACTCCGCACAGAAGGAAGCCCGGGGTCCAGCTCCAGGGACCACCCCTGGCCCTGTTGCCCCCTGCAGGTGGCTTTTGGACCTGGGGTCCCCAGGAGGGGGACATCAGCCCTCTGGGGAGGGTGGGGCCTGCTGGCCCCTCCCACTTGGGGACAGGGCCTGTCCCTGCAGGCGGCCCAGGGACCACTTCCTCTTTCTTCACTCTGAAGCCAGGAGCTGGCCTGCGGAGCCCGTGGGAAAGATGGGAGCCCACTCCAGGATGTCCTAGCCCGTCAGCGTCCCCAAGCCAGGGTGGCTGAGTGTCCCTACTTCAGGACCACCCTGCAGGCGGGCGGGATGGAGCCGGCAAATGAGGAGAAGCTGGCCTCCGTGTCCACCCTGGTGACTGTGTTTGAGAGCAGCAGGTACTGGGCTGCGGGGAGGGTCTGGGACAGGCAGGCAGCCCTGGGTGTCCAGCGGCACATGCTCCAGGCCCCCGGCCAGGGCCTCCTGAGCCCCCTCTGCGAGCAGCGCTCTGGGGGGTCCTGCCCTGGGCATCTTCCTGTCTGGGCAGCACCCACACCCTGGGTCATGGGTCCCTTGGAGCATCGAGAGTGCAATTGGGGTCCGGGAACGCGGCTCGGTGACAGAGCCATGTGTGTTGGAAGAGTTAAACCAGTGTGAGCGGGCATGGTGCCACAGGCCTGAAATCCCAGCTGCTCAGGAGGCTGAGGCAGGAGGGTCTTGAGTTCAAAGCCAGCCTCAGTGATTTGGCAAAGCCCTGAGCAGCTCAGCGACACTCTGTCTCTAAATAAAATACAAAAAAGGGCTGGGGGTGTGACTCAGTGGTTAAGCACTTCTGGGTTAATCCTTTGTACCTCCCCCACCAAAAAAACCCCAAACCAAAAACCAGTGTGGTTATGGGGGGAGTGGACTAGGGCAGTGTCGGGCTGCAGACCCCACCCACTGCCCTTCCAGCACCTCCCAGAAGTAATAGCTGATCCTTCCCGAGCATCTCCTCGCTGTGGGTAGGGCAGACCTATAGCGGGTCACTGCCACAGGACACATGGAAACTGAAAGTGGACGTCATTGAAACGGAGAGAGAAGCAGGGACTGTGCCCGGCGAGGCAGGGTGCATGGACGGACAGCCTGCCCAAGGGCACCGTCTGCGCCCCCTTAGGCCGTGTCGCATGTGATCATCCTAACGGCCAACCTGGATGGCACAACCTCCGCTTCTGTGTCCACCTGACAGACGAGGAAACCGAGACCCCGGGATGCCCCCGCTTTAAGTCCCTGTGCTTGCTGTGCTTTGGGGCCATGCTGAGGCTTCTGCTGAAGGGAACAGGCAGGACCAGATGTGGGAGTGTGTGTGTGTGTGTGTGTGCGCGCGTGTGTGTGGCCCTCACCACTCAGCAGACATTCCCCAAGCCCAGGCCTGTGTTAGCATCAGCCCGGGTCGGGTCCCCTGGAAGGAGGCCGTGAGATGGGGATGTGCCGCAGGAGGTCTATTGTGGAGAGCTCTGGGGACAACCAGGGGAGAGAGGAGCAGGAGGAGGGGCTGGCCTGCGCCAGGGAGCTCCGGGGTGGTGGCCCCCAGTTGTCCCTGCTGAGGCAAAGGTCTGGTGGGGATTTTACCGCCCCAGGGACTAGTCTGTGGGTCTCCCTCCCAGAGAGCGGTTCCCAGAGGGGGGCTTCCCGCAGCCGCCAGCCAGGGGCTCTACCCCAGCTGGGGGAGGCTGCCAGACCCCCACCCAGAAGGGAGTGGGGCTGAGCACCTGCGGGAACCCGAGAGGAGGAGGAGGGGGAGGCTTCCCGTGTTCGGAGGCTGAGCTCCTGTAGTGACCCTGGTGCAAGGTCGTGGGCAGCAGAGTGCTAGGAGGGGCCAGGTGCTGACCAGGAAGAGCCTCCCCTGGGCTCTGGCAGGGAGGTGGCCTGATCCACCCTGAAGTCACCTGAGCTGACTCCCAGGGTCCCGGCCCAGCTCGTCCCCTTCAGCACCGAGGACAGCTCTCAGGCACGGCCTTCCTGGCCCACCCAGCCCTGGGGGTGGGGGCCACGGGCCTCAGCCACCACGCCAGGTGTGGGGTGACCTCGGTGGAGCCCCCAGGCACCCTGCGGCTGCCCAGCAGCACCCCAGATGGAGTGGGCAGCCCTGTGACCCGAATGGCGACCGAGCAGGTGCCACCAGGAGGGTGACCAGCCTGTCCTGAGTGAGGGGCACCCCCCCAGCGCCTGGCCTGGGCTTCTGGGGGGCTCCGAGGCTCGGCTGATGGGAACCTGGGGTGAGGAGGAAGCAGAAGCGGGCCTGGCGCGGGCAGAGAAATGCAGAAGCTGAAACCGAGTGTAGAACAGAAAGCCTGGGGCCACGGGGCCAGGCTGCGGGCGAGACGCTGAGGAAGCAGCTCTGGGGTACCAGGGAGGGCTGAGGGTCCTGGGGCAGCAGCCTGCCCCCTGGTCCCTCTGCCACCCACTGGCTGGGTGGCCTGGGGCAGGTCACCTTGGCTCTCTGGACCTGTTTCTCCTTTACGCAGATGAGAAGCAGCTCAGGGCCAAGGCTCAGAGCCGGCCCGTCTGATCCCAATCCCACTTTTGTCAAGTCCAAGCTGCAAGTCCCTGTCCTTCCTGTGTCTCAGTTTCCATGGCTACAAAATGGGATCATAAGAATCCCTCCCTGCAGAGTTGGAGCTTGCGTCCGTGTCCGACCCCTGACGCTCCAGCCTCTTTCTCATAACGATGCCCGCTCTGCGCCAGGGGAGATGGGGCGCAGCCCATGTCACTGGACATATCCAGTGAGGGTGCATATGTCCCTCATCTACAGAATGTAACTGACCAGCAGACCCAGAACGCAGGTTAGCCAAGCTGCCCTTGGAAGCCCTGCCCTGGGGGAGCAGGGGATCTGCTCTTAGCCTGGTTTCTTCTTCAGCGGGTCATGTGGGGAGCCAAGGTCCCATCTGAGCTTAGCAGGTCTGCCCTCACTTTAGATCACTCCATGGCTCCCACCTTCCCTCCGTGTATCAGTTACTGATACAGAAATTAACTCGGGGGTGAGGCGCAGGGTGATCTGAGAAGAGCCAACTAATAAGCTTTGTCTGTAGAAGGGGCGGGGGGTGTCTTCTGAATTTGACTGCACTTCAAACAGGGAAGTATGTAGTTCCCCAGAGAATAAAACAGGGCACACTGACTCATCTTGAAGACTGAAGTTCCTCCAAGGTTCGGGAGAGACGTGGAGGTCTCACTTGGCAAGTTTCTCCAGCGTGCCGGGCGCTCGGGAGCCGCTGCCCACCAGAAATGGACAACAGTCACCCCCAGAATCCTCACGGGGACAGGCTGCGGTGCTCCCTGTTCTCTGACAAGGACACTCTTGGGTCTGCTCCTTTCTCAGGACCCCGGGAACTGCGCCCAGAGACCAGGCCCCGCCACCAGCCCCAGGGCCATGGGAGAAGCCGCATGTCGGGGAGACCCCCGAGTCTGGGCCCAGGACCGTGAGCAGGAGGTGTCTGAGCTCCCTGAAGAACAAGCTGTCCAGCGGGGCCTGGCGGAGACCTTGCCCACCTGGGACCTGCGAAGGGACAGTGCCACAGGTAAGCACTGGGCCTCTCCCCTGACCGCCTCCGCAGACGCTCTCTCCCGCCAGAGCCCAGGTGGGGGGCTTGTGTGATCACAGATCAGCCAGAAGCTGGACAGTCCCTCCTCACCAGCCCGGGATGGCTACAGCCCCTGGACTCTCCCCACCTGCCCGTTGCCCCCCTCACCCCCGTCAGACTGGCAATCACCAAGCCCACGAGGAGCGGCCCATGTTGGCGAGGATGTGGGGAAAGGCACACCCTTGACATTGCTGGTGCGGCTGCAAAAGGGTTCAGCCACTCGGGGAAGGAGTAGGGAGATTCCTCAGAAAACGTGGAATGGAACCTCCGTTTGACCCAGTCATCCCACTCCTTGGTATATAGCCAAAGGACTTAAAATCATCATACTGGGGCTGGGGATGTGGCTCAAGCGGTAGCGCGCTCGCCTGGCATGCGTGCGGCCCGGGTTCGATCCTCAGCACCACATACCAACAAAGATGTTGTGTCCGCCGAGAACTAAAAAATAAATATTAAAAAAATTCTCTCTCTCTCTCCTCTCTCACTCTCTCTTAAAAAAAAAAAAAAAAAAAAAAATAAAATCATCATACTGCAGGGACACAGCCACCTCAATGTTTATAGCAGCTCAACTCACAGTAGTTAGACGATGGAACCAACCTTGGTGTGCCTCCAATAGATGAGTGGATAAAGAAACTGTGGTTCATATACACAATGGAATATCACTCAGTGATAAAGAAGAATTAAATTATGGCATTTGCTAGTAAATGGATGGAACTGGAGGCTATCATGCTAAGTGAAATAAGCCAGTCCCCAAAACACAAAGTCCAAATGCTGTCTCTGATATGTGCATGTTGACTCGCAATAGCCTGGGTGGTGGGGTGATGGTGATGGTGGTTCAATTTTGGTCTTTTAGGCAAGGAAATTGAAGCTTAAGACACTGTACTGGGGCTGGGGATGTGGCTCAAGCGGTAGCGCGCTCGCCTGGCATGCGTGCGGCCCGGGTTCGATCCTCAGCACCACATACCAACAAAGATGTTGTGTCCACCGATAACTAAAAAATAAATATTAAAAAAAAGACACTTGTTCAAGGCCACAGGGCTTGGAACAGTCTTCACCTTGTGAACTTGGGATGCTTCACAGCTGTGGCCTCAGTTTACCCTCTGGAGGGGGCAACAGTCTCACACCAGAAATGGAGGTCTGAGTGCTGATTTCCTTAGACTAACACTGGGTCTGGTCCCAAGTGGGTCACCTCTCTCCTACAGATTTGTTTCCTGGCCTGTGGATGCGGCGGGGGGGAGGGGGGGACAATACATGGGACTGTACTCCAGAGCCAGCTCTGTGGGCTCACATCCTGCTCTTCCTCTTTCTCACTGTGTGACTTTGGGCAGTCACTTTAACCTCTCTGTGCCTTATGATGGATGATCGCAGTGGTGTGTTCTGGTGACCAAATGCTGCGTAGCAGACACCCCAAACATAGTGGCCTAATATGACCTCATTGGGGTGACCGGCATGCTGCAGGACAGCTCTTCTGTTGGTCTTGGTTGGGGGCTGCGTCAGTCTGCCAGGCTGTCTTGCCAGTATCCCACCCGCTGTGTGCTTTGGACAACAGAAAGGTGTTTTCCCACCGTTCTGGGGACTCAAGTCCAAAATCAAGGTGTGTGTGTGGGGGGGGTTTCTAGGGAGGCCTCTGTTCCTGGCTTGTAGACGGCCACTTTCTTGCTGTGTCCCCGAGTGGCCTTTTCCTCTGTGCATACACATTCCAGCGGTCCCTTCTCTTCTCACAGTGACACCAATCCTATTGGTTTAGGATCCATGCTCCTCATCTCACTTGACCTTAATTAACAAAGGTCAGTCTTTTATCTTTAAATTAAAAAAAAATTATATATATATATATTTATTAATGGTAGGGGGACACAATATCTTTGTTTTATTTATTTCTTTTTATGTGGTGCTGAGGATTGAACCCAGCCCCTCACATGTGCCAGGCGAGTGCTCTACCACTGAGCCACAACCCCAGCCCTGAGACTTTTATTTTTGGTACAGGGGGTTGAACCCAGGGGTGCTGTGCCATGAGCCGCGTCCCCGGCTCTTTTTATATTTTATTTAGAGACAGGGCCTCGCTGAGTTGCTTAGGGCCTCGCTGTTGCTGAGGCTGGCTTTGAACTTGCGATCCTCCTGCCTCAGCCTCCAGAGCAGCTGGAATCACAGGCCTGCGCCACCGCCTCTGGCACCTTAGTGTCTAATGAGGTCTCTTTCACGTGGCCGCAGGCAGGTGGCGCCGCGGGCTGGAATGCCCAGGACGGCTCAACCTGTGAGCGGCTCCCTGGGCAGGGATGGCGGAGGCTGGGCTTCTAGGAGCTCCCTTTCTCCCTGTGGCCTCCAGTCTCCCCGCTTTGGGGCCTCCCTGGAGGTCCCTCCATCAGGCAGCCGGCTCTCTTGAGGTGGTGACTCCCAGCTCCCGTGGGAGCTGCCGGGTTCAGGGGGCCCTTCTGAACCCCAGCACGGGCTCAGCCTCCGTCTGCAGGTTCTCTGATGGCCTCGTGCCAGGGCCAGCCCAGATGCCCAGGGGACGGCGGGAACAGCGGAGGGTGCTCCACAGTGACAAACCGAGGGCTCACCAGAGGCGCCCCAGCTCCCTTCTCCCCTCTCCTCTTCCCGTCCCTGCAGGAGCCCGAGGAGAAGAGGGTGGTCCGGGAGCTGCTGGAGACGGAGCAGGCCTACGTGGCTCGCCTGCACCTTCTGGACCAGGCCAGTGGCCAGCACCCCCGGCCCAGCACCAGTGTCCCCTGCCCGCCACCACCCATGTCCTCAGAGCAGGGCTAGGAACCCTGGGTTTGAAGCTACCGAACCCCGTGGTCGGAGGCTGAGAACCCTGGTGGCCAGGCCAGCGCCCACAGATAG